GGGCTGTCGTTGTCTGTTTGGAGCGTTCCATGCTACAAAAATGCAGCAGCTACATGCTGGTACTCCTCTGTTGGGGTGTTTGCCTCTCGACGTTGCTTCTCAATCCTGTTCATTATTCGTCAGCTTTTTCTGAAATTTTGTATTCTGCTGCTGAGTCGCAATGACGCAGTTTGCTCCTAGCGTCCTAGCAAAGTGCGCACGTCTTAGCGGCTTTCTTGCCTTAACTTCTGCCGTCACTAAAGTTTTATAAATTCTTTGAAAAATTGTTTTAAAAATGAAAGTGTTTTGCCTACTTGGGAAATTTTTTCACAGTTAGTTTATTTTACTAGACTGGGAGCCGCGATAAAGAAAAGGACTACTCGGACAGCCCCAAAGGGGTGATGAACATTCATCGAACGGGTGTCTGGGTACTAATTGAAAGTGTGCAGCGCAAGATCGAATTGTCTAGCATAGCTGTGCCTGGTGTGTTAGAGCTCCCAGTAACATTATTAATGTAGCACTGCCACACCGATCGTCCGAGCAATCCTGTTACCTTTTGGTAGTTTACCTAAAATATGATGGTACCTTCAGCTATGATGAAAATGGCCTCTCTGGAACAAATAGACTTTAATTTATCTGTGCTCAGCATTCTAATGCCAAATTTAGTGTTGGAAGGTCGGTATTTGGCGCTTCTGGGTCTCCATCCCTCAGCGCAGTTTAAAAGTAAAGGAGGGGACGGTGGGTGTGTGCTGAAAGTTGATTAATGTGTTGCGGAAGATATCATTTTATCAATAAGTGTTTCTGATAGTGGATGCTGTTCCTGATTTCCTGCTCCGCCCACCACCCACTGCTTTCGTCAAACGTTGCAGCCGGTATTTATAGCCGCTGTTTGCTGCGCACCCCTTTACCTGTTTACATCAACTGCTTATCACTGTTACATTGAAGTTGTCCTGAATCTGCGAATTCCTTATCGTCTTCATCACCCCAATTTAATTTTCGTACACGATCTAAACAATATGCGCATTGAGTCTTTTCTTGGTCTACAGGTTCGGAATTTTCTCTCGAATACTGTAATCATTATATGAAGGGGTACCATATTAGTCTTGACTTATAACTGGACAGGCTGAAAAGCAGTCATATTTTAATTATAATCAGTTTAAAAGAAAACATACAGGTTGTGCGGAAAATTCAGGGTTAACCATCAGTTAGCCTCAGCGAGTTGTGCTGGAGGATGAAGAGTTGATTCCGCTAGTCGTTCTACATGTTGTAATGGTAATTTGGCACTAACGCACACTACCATCCTGCTTGTAAACAACCCCCGAAAAAGGGGATTATCGGCAGGCTTACCAGCAACTAACTAGTTGCTCTTATACCTACTAGCGTTGAGTTACTCTCAAGTGCTTCCTTCTCGTAAAAAGGGTAGAAAGGGCGAGGAGGGAAAAGTTGACTTTTTGCACAGTTAGTAGACTCTCATTCTTGCAAACTTGCTCGAAGGCCATTCGGAATACACAGATCTGTAATATTCACAAGTCTCAAGTGGTTCTTATTGGCAGAACTGAAATGAAGTCAAAAAATTCTTATAGAGTTATGGAATTGGTGCGACAAATGTAACATTTCAACAGCATAAAATTGGCCGGCAAGAACGTGCACAAATTCTTGGACACCATCCTGGATTTCGTGGTTGCACCGTATGGTTCACTGGTCTTTCGGGTGCTGGCAAAACTACAGTGGCTTTTGCTGTTGAGAAAATTTTAACTCAGGTTTTTTCTGATTTTTTGGAGATTTTTAAGGTCATAAAGTAAAATTATCATTATGTATTGAATCTTTATTGACAGCGCTGTATACTGCAGCTCGGTATACCTGCATATGGTTTGGATGGTGATAACGTCCGTCATGGGCTGTGTAAAAATCTCGGATTTACGAAGGAAGAGAGAAGTGAAAATATTCGTCGAGTTGCTGAAGTTGCGAAACTCTTTTCTGACATGGGCATTGTCGTTCTCGCTTCATTTATCAGCCCATATAAAGCTGATCGTGATGATGCAAGATCTATTCATAATCAGGTGATCACTTTATCAGTTTATCGCTTTATCAGTTCTACTCCCTGAATTGCCATTGTG